CTATAAGGCTTACGATGCATAAACAGAGTGGTGCTATCAAATCTCATTTGGACTCAACACACTCAATCACAATTAGCCGTGAAATCCTCGACAGCAACACCAAAGTAATATACCAGAACAGCAACTACACGCATCTTAAAATTGCAGAAGCAGTTCTAATTGACATCAATAAACCAAAAATAAATATACAACAAAAAATGACAACCTCACTTCCAACCCGGCGCTTAACCAACAACGAAAACAAAGAAGTAATAAAAACTAGCATCGTAAATAGTGACAAAGAAGAATATGATGCTATCGATGAAGAAAAGGAGACCAAAGAAGATGACCAGCCAATAAAGAAACCTGACACCTAAGTCGCATCAAAGTTCAATTTTACAACACCAAAGTTAATTTCTACAACGTCAAAGTTCATCTTGACAAAGTCAATATTTCCCTATATATACAGCAAGGAGCACTGACGATGATTCATTCGGAATCGAAATATGACCTTATTTGCAGCATGAATTCGAAAAATAAGTTTATTTTGAATTTTAATAAACTAAACGATCACCAAAAAACTTAAGTGAGAAAAATCGAAAAAACGAACTACAAACATATTAACGCCAAACATTCGGTAGAATTTATAGAATATTGTAAAAATTATGGTCTATTACCAACATTTATATAATATATATATATATATTTATTTATATTTATTTTTATATATAATATGTAAAACATTCTCCATATGTGACGTTACGTCAAAAATATTACACTATATATTTTGTAAGTGTTTAGCCAACTAGCCAACACACACACACAAACACACATACATACAAACACACGCATATATATGTATATGTGCACTAGTTTGCTTTTAACATCATTAACTGCAATGTATTTTGCGTGTCACGTATTACACCTATGAGAACATTAACGACAATAAAACTTTATAAATTTTAATTAGTTAATTAATTAGCTAACTAACTAATTGATAATTATTGTTCCAATTAAAATTCCATTTTTAATTACTAATAACTTCAATAATTAAATTATCATCGAAGCTAATAATTTTTCTACTCAGTATGCTGTTGTTGAGTTTATTGTTAGAATTGTATCATGGTTACTTTAACTGTATAGTACGTATTTTATTTATGGAGTATTTTAAATGACTATTTAATTTTTGTATGAGACCTTTTGTGAGGAAGAAAAACCTGAATTATTCATCTACTTAATTTTTTTCCCACCAGCATAATAACGACGACATTGGCGATGGTGATGAAAATGATGAGGATGGTGATGACGAAGATGATGATGAAAATGATGAAGATCGTGATGACGAAGATGATGACGACGATAAGGATTGCAACGAATGGCGGTGACAATGACAAATTTAATGACAAAAGCAACAAAATAATTTCATCATCATTTCATCATTTCGTCATTCGAAAGGGGATTAGATACAGAACCAAGAGACAAAAGCCATTTTTAATCATTATCATGTCTCCCAGCCAGCTCTCCACCCATACAGTCTGCTGAATTATTACACAATGGAGTGCAGTATTATTTCAAAATAGAGGTCGTCATTAGCGAGTTTTTGAATTATTTGAAATTTTTTAATTGCGTCTTTTTATTCCAGGTATATATAAGCTGAAAAAATTGTGTCAGTATACCAGAATTATGTTAATTTAAAATAGAAGCCATGAGTATTGTATTGCACGCGAATGTTCAGTTTGGCCTCAATTATTATTATTACAATATAACAACACATAATGGAACATTAATGCGTCTTGAAGGGTTAGTTTTAGAACCATTTGGTAATTTGTAAAAAAGATGACACAATAATTTCATTGAAAGATGTTAATTTTGTAGGATTTATTCTTATTCATAATTTATTTTTATTACACAAATAATTTTTTAATGAGAATCCTTCAAAAAGAATTTTCCGATTTCCAAAATTTCTATCCATCAAAAAAATATTTGATTGCATTTAAAAGCAGGTGGCAAAAATTTTTTTGTATAAAATTTACTGAAATACCATCAACTGAATCACCAGATTAATATCATCATGAATAATTTTTGAATAAATTATGTTAATAACATCAAAAATTTACGTTTTATGAACTACACCTCTACTTCATGAAATTAATATTCTTCATGAGATTAATATTCTTCAGTTACGTAACCTCTCTACTCCACATATGGCAAGCCACCAACCAATCAATCAATCAATCAAGTGTATGGCTTAACTTGAAGTAACTACAAAATATACAGGCTTATGTTTGTAAGGCATATTTCTCGCATACAAATTTGTATGTTTGTTGAATGTTCATCCTCTAAGGATCATACAACTGTGAATTAATTTAGCATTCATATACAGCCGACCGGCACACGCACACACAAAGAGGTACACACGTATTCATATTTCATCATTTTCTAAACATAAAATTTTACAAAAAAATGTGATAAAAAATGAATTGATATTTAGGAAATAACGTATCTGCGCTTCTTTTGATATAAAGCTTTCTATAATTTAACATAGTATTCAAATAGATTCTTTCTATAGAATTTCATAAAAAGCCGAAATTATTCAGAATGAATAAGAACTCAAATCGTGGGACATTACGTCAGATGACTTGCCATTATTCTCATAAACCTGCAATGAAATGAAACAACTCAGTTCAATTCTTTCTTGTAGCTGTCTCAATGTTTCAATTAATATTTATGATTGCAACTCAAACCTGGTAACGGGACATTCCTTGATAAAAGTTTCTAGGCCTTTCAAACTCCTATGTGCAAGTTTTCAAATGAGTTTAACATGAAATTGAATGAAAGTCAGTTACAGTCTTGAAAACGTTGTTGGTCATTAAATTTTTGCCTAAACTTCAGACTTGTATGTCTCGGAGAAACATTTCACAACTCAATCTCAGATCTTCTGTACGCAAAAATGGCAGTAAAATTAATACATACACGCGCATGGCTGAGATATTCAATGATCAAACCTTAAATGGATTTCATGAATTTAGCGTAAAAATTTTTCAAGCTTATAAAAAGCAAATTTCCGAGAATTTTTGATTGAAATAGTAAAAAAATTGATCGATTGTCGCTTTGTTCCATGAAAATTGCAGGTACCTCTGTGCAAAATTTTTATGGATGTGATACTGTGGCTATGAAAAAAATTCGCAGGAGCAAGAATAAAATAAAAAATTTTTTTTTCATTTTTAAAAATTCTTCTCGTTCGCCATGGAGTAGCGAACAACAAAAGAAGAATTGAATGGGTGCCTGATTAGTACTCTGGTTGCTCGGTTTGAAAATCTATTTCAGTAGCTTTTTCGTTGATATTCAATTAAAAACTATTTCGTTTCAAAATATTATTCAAATTTTTTTAAAAAACTATTATTTTACTACACATTTAAACTTTTTTGTAGTGGAGAGCAATAAAGAAAGACAAAAAAGCAAAATTATATTTTTCATCAAACTAACAAATAGTGAGTTTGATACAAATAAAATTACAGTAATAACAGATTAAAAAGATTAAAACCCCAATATTTGGAATATTCTTCCAGCCTCTTATCAAGAAAAAATTGAACTATCTGAAAAACCGTACTTTGAAGAATCATTTTAACTTTAATACCAAACGGATCCTAGCGAATGTTTCTCAAATTGAGATGAACTAAAAACATTTTGAGAGGAATTTAATATCATCAAAATTAATACGATCAGAATCTTACATAACTCTATTACACCAAACTCAATTCAAACTATGAACTCTACATGATTTTAATACACTAAAGTTCACACATAATATTAATACTAGATAGTACCTTAAATATACTATAATTATTACAATACTATAAACCCAAATAAACAACATTATAACCTGTAATTCTAATTAATTATCTTATATAAAAAAAACTCTACAACGTTAAAACATTGATGTAAGGTGCTTATGTTGTTATGTACCCACATTCATTCATCATTATGATAAAATCTACGATCATCATTATTATCGTCATAATCATTCCCATGTGACGTAACTGATATTGAATTTATTAACTTTAAAATAGGAGATCAGACCATCATCGCCGTTCAAAAATTTTCAAGTGAAAACCGCAGTGCGTCGGCAGTTGTATGGTACGTTTCTCTAGAGATAGCTCGTTGATGAGAGGAGTGAATGATGATTTTGTATCATCAGATATCATATCGTCACATATCATATCATAAAATTATATATCATCACATATCATCCCATATCGCATTATATAATTTTGTACCATTACATACCATATCATATCATTACAAATCATATCATCACAAATCATATCATATAGTTTTGTATCATTACAAAATATCATATTATACCATATCATATCATAACATTTCATTATATATCATATTATATCATGTCATATCACATCCTACAATTTTGTACCATTGCATATCTTATCATCACAAATCATATCATATAGTTTTGTATTATTACATGTCATACCATCTCTAGGGACTATCATCGCCAATGTTGATACTAATTAATATCACCATCCTCTAATTCTTATTTTGTTATCAATACTTTGTTGATATATGATACAAAATTGGATAGATTGGTTTAGATGCAACAACACACAGGCACTTCTGGAAGATTTTAATCATCATATTGCGAATAAGAATCAAAAAAGGAAACTTGTTGAAATCTTTTTTAAATTAACTCAACGGTGATCAGAAAGAACGATGAAAATATTATTGAGAACAAGCGGTTTCAATTATGTACGTGAATTAATATGTTATACGTACATTTTATATTTAAAAGTTCGTAAATATATAGCTATATTATAATATTTTATACAAATATTATGTAAATACATGTATGCCTGAGCTTGTGTGTGTAATGTGTGTCATTATACGTCTGTGCGTGTGTTTGTGTGTGTTGTGTACATGATAAAAGATAGAGCAATTTATATTGAAAATCATATTCACTTAACATTTTCTTATTTATTAGTAATAATATTCATACCTATATACATAATAATATCATATATTGCACCAGTTGGCGTACTAATTTCGTACATTTGTTTATCTATTTCATCTTGTAAACGCTTGCTATATACATACATTGCTACGATGATTTGCATCCACTGTGGATGATGATGATGTTGTTCTTCTTCTTGGGCAGAATAATAGAGTAGAAAGTAAAAAAAAAAATAGAAATAATAAGTGTGGGGGTAAGAATAATATGAGCATCATCTGCAGTGTGTGCTATCAGTTGTAAACAGAAGTTTTTCCAACTTCATCTTCATGTTGATAATAAAAATCATCATGTACGTTTTGAGGATGTTGTTTTGACGCATGTTTCAAGCTTCTTCTATCATTCATTTCTCTCGTTCCTCAGCATTTGTTACTTTAATTCAATTAATTCAATTGGCTGTTGTTTTTCAAGAGGTTAATTGTTAAATCTACAAGCGATATGATCTGTGATATATTTTAAATACATCAACCCAATGTGATAATTTGTGGATTGCGCTCATACATCTCCTTGCTCAACATAATCACACCTTCTCATACTTGCCTTCTCATTGCGGATAAATGAAATTTTAATTTCTAGTAAAAAGTATTCAGAAATATTATATAAAGCAATTTTTATTGCTCCAGTGGCAAATGCTACTACTGAGTACTAAAAAAAGTCCATGATTTCCAAATATGTCCTGAAGTTTGGAAATCCAGACCATTCAATTAATTGAATATTTCGAATGGCGAGCGTCTCAGAGAACACATTGAGTCCGGAAAGCGACGAATGTCTGAAGGATCGCCACTGGTACGCATTCCTTTGCTCCAGCCTCATCTCCTTCTTCACAGGACTGCTCTGCGTCTTGATATGGAGGATTTGCTCGTGGACAGTCTGCCAGATTAGCATCTTCCGAGCTAGCAAACAGCAGATTCCAGCTATCTTAGAAGCTAGTAGCGTTCTCGCAACGGCTTCGAAACAAAAAGCAGACAAAGCGGAGCCAAAAGTCGGTTCACTAACATCGGCTCAGGATTGGGCTGGAGGGTTGATATCCGGTCAAACAACTATTGGACAAATATTAGTGAGTCTTGTTGGTGTGAAACAACTTTTCTAGCATTAAAATTTAGAATAAAATCATTTTGATAATGTTGCTTGATATGAAATTTAAAGTTGCATTATACAACCTCTAATATCAATACAAATACACCTTATCAAACCACAAATAAAAGTTTTCAATGGGGATGTTTTTGGTAGAACTTTCACATACATTTTTAGAGTCAACTCTAACATTCTTCATTATTAAAGTGTACTAAATTGATATGAAATAAATAATTATTAAGGGTAACAATTAATACGATTTGATATGGAATAAACTGAATATTCATCTAGAAACAACACAAACAAATGACCACTTAGGTTGTAAGGATGATAATAAATTAATATGTAATAAATTAAAAATTTATGAGAAAAAAATCCCACCAGGTTGTGATAGTCTTCCTGATGAGCATTGCTTCTCTGATCATCTACTTCATTGATTCATCGACGTTAGTGCTTCATACTTCACAGTCAATAAATTTTTTTACGGTAGATTGATTTTTTTTGTGATTAGTTGTGATTTTTTTCAATTGAATTTCCGTAATGGTTTTTGTTCATATATTGAAGCTTTATTAAGACTTCTGTCTTAATTCTAGTCAGTTAATAGTATGTCATTTTAATTAATTTAGTGCTAATGTTCCTCTTGGTTTTTAAAAATTTTGTAATTAATTTTGTTTAACTTTGCTGTTAAATCGTTGTTGTCTCGACAAAAATAAGCAATGGAATGTAATGTAACTAAGTAACAATAAACACACTGGCTGGTATAACTTCTAACATTGGCTATCAGATCTCTACTAGTGGATAATATCGAAAATATGCTCATTTCATGAAGATTGTTCTCAAGCTTTTTTTTAGCTCTGGGTGTTGTTAGTGAATCAATCCACGTATATTCCTAAGTTTTCTTCAGCTCTTGTCGATATTTTCTGTGGTTTTAACATTTCAATTTTAACATTTTCAATTTCAACGTCTCCAATTTTAATTGTTTTCAATTTTAACGTCTTCCATTTTAACTTTTTCAATTGTGGTCTTGTGTTTCACTTAAAAATTATATATTCTCATAACGACAGTCTTGCTATATCATACACATCTTTATATTTGCAAATAATTATAAAAATATAAAGATGTGTATGATATAGCTAGTAGCATAGTTGGTTTAATACATTTTTTTTGGATTTTGGATTCTGAAATAACTTTTAAAAATTTTCACAAATTTTAAGGTGGATAAATTTACAGCTTTGCTGTACTTGCCCAATCCTTTAAATTTCTTCCACCCGCGATAGCGAACTTTTACAATTATTTCGGAATAAAGTATTGCTAATGTTATAATAATAGAATATATACAAGAACTATTTATTAAATGCTACATTTTTAAAATTTAACAATCCCTATATAAATATCATTGCAATAATAATGAAATAGTATATTGAGAAACGTATATACAATTGAAAATAATTAGATATTCTGAATTTTAAAAAATTAACAAGCTCTTTAATTTTCTAATAAGCACCAACATTATCTTTTTCTTGCTGTGTATATAATTTATCACAACTTCATCCTCTGTTATTTGCAGCTGTTACCAGTCTAAAAATTTTATAATTTATACTTAGTTGTTTTATAATTAGGAGAAGTTTTTGAAAAAAAAATTAATGAAAATAAAATTACGATGGAATTCATACTAGAATTATCAATTAAACATTAACAATATGAATATTTTATGAAAAAAACAAAGTACATTTTTATTGTTTAGACTAGGGTTTTCCAAGTGTAGGGTTAGGATTTCCAAACTTTTTTTCGTCGCGTTCCACAGATCTGTCAAAAAAATGTGGTTGGTTGGTAAAGTCTCTGAATAGTTTCAGCAACAAAACTGCAATAACGTTTATGATGTATTAGCCAATTAGCCAAATTTTACATATGTTTTCAACTACCAATGTTTATTTACATATACTCACACGCACGCACACACACATACATACAAACACAAACACACACTTATATATACAAACTTTGTTGTGACGGGCATAAAAGTGTGTTAAAAAAAACTTAGCGACTAACTTTTTTCTGGTTTCTACAAAATTTAACTTAACATTATCGTTGTGAGGATGAGCCAAAGTAGTTTTGGGCCCACATTTTTACAAATCTTAAGAGGAATCTGATCCAATTGACCATACCAAATATCTCCATCGAGAGTATGGCCCTAGCCCACTTACCGATCCCTCATATTGTTATATTATATATGAAAAAGCCTGATTGTAAACAGGAGAATCTAATTAGTTTCTATTTAATTTTTATTTGATTCCGATAAATCGTCTTGAGAATGTTTGTACGATTGGATAGTTGTTTGTAATTGTGAGTTTTTTTAACCTCAATTTTTTTCATTTGAATGTGGTGCGGCTACATACGTAATATATTCAAACACACGAATATTCATTTACCAATTCATTTGATTAGTTTTAAAAACTTTCATTTATATGCTTTATAGTTTTTTAAACTCAATATTATACTATTTTGATTTTTTTTAAATTAATAAAAAAACATTGACAAATTATTGAAAAAACCAGAATTCCAAGTCAACTCAGCAAATATCGGTAGGCGTTTAGTATGCGAAAGCATGTATTCCTGTATGAATAGATGAAAACATGTGTGTCTGCATATGTGTGTCCAATTATTATTAAATGTGATTGTGTGTGTGTGTGTGTGCGTGTGTGTGTGTGCGTGTGTTTAAATGTTTGTGTGTTGTATGTTTGTTGCGTGAATGAATTTAAGCACACTTTTGTACGTGCGAAAGTGTAGACGAATATATGCATATGTGTGTATATGTGTATAAAATTGTAAACAAATACTTGTTTTTGTCCGAGTGTGTGTATTTTTACCCATGTATGCGTGAATGTAGGTGTATTTTTATAAAATTAGGAATGAACTTGTACATCCGTGCCTAAGTTTGTGTGTCTAGGAGCATGTATGTATGTATGTATGTATGTATGTATGTATGTATGTATGTATGTATGTATGTATGTATGTATGTATGTATGTATGTATGTATGTATGTATGTATGTATGTATGTATGGCTATGTTGTGTACACAATTTGTATGTCTGTATGTTTTTGTATATGTGTATGTTTATTGTATGTGTGAATGTTGGTGTATGAATGTGTGTGTGTGTGTGTGTGTGTGTGTGTGTGTGTATGTATGCATGGATGTGTATTTATGTGTATGCTATCACGTCGGCATAGATCGTGGCTGTTGTTGTGAGGATGCTGTGCCAAGAATTTATTACCTGATGTAGGAGCATTTTTAGATTTATTGCTAATAAACTTTCTGTTTTCTCATTATAAAGGCTTTTTTAATTAATTGAATGCGTAAAATTGAAACTTGTTTATCTGTTAATTAATTAATTATTTTAAAACTCAATCGTGTGAATGATATTTATTGTGATACAAATTTTAAAATTTATGATGAAAAATTTATAATGTGAATGTATATTATAGTGACATTTTAATGACTTTTTTATAATTCTTCCTTGAAGGTATTCACAAAGACATTAAAATTTATAACCCAGTTAAATTAACAGTAATTTTTATAAAGAATTGGAGACTCAGTTGATGATGATGGTTTTGTAGAATAAAATTTTCAATCTTGAAAATTAATTTTCTTGCATTTTATTTACATCTAGAGATTTGTGAATTTTGTGTAATAAAGTGTTACAGTTGCCTAGTTTGAAAGCACAATGAACCCAGCATATCGTTTGCTATGTGTCCAATGAAATGATTTTTTGACTATTCACAAACGCTGTGTGTATGCGTGTGGCTTGTGTGTGTGTGACGTGCGTTTGTGTATGTATGTGTGTGTGTTTGTGTGTTGTGTATGTGTGTTGCAGATACTTCAAAAAGAATTACGTTAAGAAAGAAAATACACTGTTTCGCATAAATGTTAGCCTGAAATACAGAAATACCTTGCTTTTAGGTTTCCATGTCACTTCATTCAACCCACTTATTTAAAATTTCTTGAATGATTAAACAGAATAAATATTAAATGAACGTTAAATTAACAACGAATGAACAATAATTGAAGATTAAATTTGTAAAAAAACACTAGGGAAGCAGTGGAATCGTGCGAGAAGTGGAGTACTAGCACGACGCAGCAGGTCGATCTCATTTTCAACATCTTTTTCATGTTCTACTTTTTTATTCGGGTAAGACTTTTTTTTTCTCAAGTTGTTGGTGTTTCCATTCATCAGGTTAATAAAAGAGAGATGAATATCAATGATGATGATCGGTGTTATTAGGATGATGTATCGTTCTGATCTGCAGCTCTAAGGAGCATTGTTGTTATAAAATGGTTGTCAAATTATTGTTTATTCTTCGTTTCATTGTTTAATTAAAATTTTTTAATCTCAAATTTTCAGTGTAAGGTTTTTATGTGGTTGTTCATTTAAAGATTTTATCATATCATTTAATAAATAGGTGAATGTGAATGTTTTTTTTAAAATGTGAATGTGAAAAAAAAATTTTGCTCGGCGAGGCAGTTTATTTTTTCAAAGTTGATGATATCTATGCGTCATCTATCCATTCATTCGCTCCTGCGTTCTTTCAAAATTTGCTCTGTTTTTTCATTGGTTTTTTTCTCATTCGTACATTCATTCATTCATTCAATCATTCAATCATTCATTCATCCATTCATTCATTTATCCATTCATTCATTCATTCATGCACTCACTAATCGTTCATAAGGTAAGTTGTTTTTGAACTTTTTTTTCATATGTTTGGACTCTATGGTGAATCCTACATAAGTTTGCTTGTTCATTTGATCTATTTTACTTCTATTCTTTCATTTATCTCTTCGTTTTCTCACTCCATCTTTCATTCATTCACTCACTCGTAAGTACATCATATTATTTAAAAATCGTTTACGCTAAATTAACTTTTTATTTATTATCCCATTCTTTCGTTAATCAATTAATTAATTAATTCATTCATTCATTCATTCATTAGTTTGATTGGTCGTTGATTTATTCAAATTCATTCAAATATTCGCTTACCAATTAATTCATTCAACATTAATTCATTCACCTATGCGTGCATTCATTCACGTTACATTCATTCAACGTTATCCAATTTTCATTCATTCATTCGCAACTTCATTCCTCCACACATCATCTTCAGTCGCTCATTCTTTCGGCATCTATCTGTTTATTAGTTTAATAATTCCATGTTTTTGTTATTTGTGTGTGTGTGTGTGTGCACATGGAGGTACATCGCTACATATTTGCCTTATTTACTTACCTACCTCTTAAATCATGTACATATATATGTATGTATATGTAAGTTTTTGTGTCTGTATATGTGTGTGTGTGTGTGTGTGTGTGTGTGGTATGCGTGTGCGTGGTGTGTGTATGTGTATGTGTGTGGTGTGTGTGTGTATACAAACATACTGTAGTAACCTTGGGGATGGTGGAATTGTCTCATAGATTAATTTGAATTAGTTATTATCATCTTGATTATTTGCTATCTTTGCTCTATTATAATCTTTTGATTTTGAGAATCTCTTGTATAGAAGAAGCAGTGAATAGCGAAGTTAGTGGCAAGGTTTGAAGAGTAGTTGTATTGTGACTTATGTAGTTACTTGGATTGGTTTGCGATTGAAGCAGTTGTGTTCATCTATCGGAAATCTTGAACCAACGGAGTAACGAACACTTGACGATCGTTGATAGCAACAACACCGTGTTGGAAATATAGAGATCAACGATTAGTGTTGGAGGTTACGAACGTTTAAGCTTACAACAATGCATATATACATAATACATACATAGAAACATACACACGCACACACATACATACATACGTACGTACATACGTACGTACATACATACATACAAAAAACAAACAAACAATACATACATACATACATACATACATCCATACAACAAACAAACAAACAATACTTACATACGTATATACATACATTCTTATATCATATATACACATACATATAATCGCTCGCATATTTTAAAAACAATGCGTTTTTATGCGTGCGAGGAGTTAGTTTAAACTTATCTCCGTGCACTGTAATATAATATACAAAACACTCTCAACAATGTAGAATAAATTGAAAAATGTAGTCCATCCAGCTTTATTATGCATGTGGTGTATAAATAGGATTATCTATGTATAATTTTTTGTTTGTGTATGTTTGTTTTTGTTCGTTTGTGTATATGTCTACGCTAATGTATGTGTGTCTGTGCGTGTATAAATATTCAATTATATATGTATACATGTTCGTAAATATAACATATATATTGTAAAGTTATTCAGATAATGCAACGGGAAAGTTCTTGGCACTGCTTTTGCAATGACCAGATTCGATTGCACAGTGCATCCTTTCTATCACAGCCAATGTGTGTGATGCGTTGTTTCGCGTGTGTTCGCACGCATTGTGTGTCTTTGTTGCTGATGTTTGGGAAAAACGCTGAAGGGAGAATTGTAATGAAAGAATAGGATGAAATACATCACGCCATTTTTTTTGTAAACGCTTATATGCACATATATGTTCTACAAATGTGTACCTGCAGATGTGTATGTGTGAATGTGTATGTTTGTTGTTGTGTGTGTGTGTAAATCTTCTTTGAAAAGCAATGTTAAACGTTTGCAATAACATCTCCGGTTTATTTATTAAATAAACAAACTGAAATATGTTTTCTATAAATCTTCATGTTATTTCGCGCATTTGGGAAGATGAAATTGTTTGATCCTGTGATCAAATGGAGTTATTTAGCGGAGTTATTCAGCGCGTCGTAGAAATAATTGTTTGTGAATAAACTAATTCTTTTTAGAATTAGATGCGTGTTTCCAGTTCAACTCTTGACCTGATGACATGTGAAATCATGTGGCACCATTTATTTATTATGCTTTTCGAGCTAGTTCTAATTATGTGTTCAATTTTCTCATATAAAACACATTCACTTTTTATATATAACCATGTATGTGTGTGTTGTGTGTGTGTATGTGTTTGTGTATGTGTGTGTGATGTGTTTGTGTATGTGTGTGTATGTCTGTGTAATTTTCATGCATCATTGATCCATGTTTACTTACTTTGTTAATATGTTGCAGCAGATTTTTATAAAAAAAAAAAAAACATATTTTTGGTTTTAAGAGAAATGAGGATTTTATTCAGAATTTTATATTGTAAGCTTTTGACAACGAATCATTTGTATTTGGGTAAAATGGTTTTTCATGTTATTTATTTGCTTTTTATTATTATTCAATCAATTGATTAATTAATTTCCAATTAATTAATTATTTTTTTTGTTTTAATAGCACTTCGCTTAATGACTGCTTACCTTCTCACATATTGCCTCCTTTGATCACCGCAACACATTTATTCGTTATAATAAACGCTCTTTCATTAACCACTTGTTCGTCGATCCATCTTTATTTCTTTTTTGTTTCTTTCATTTCATTTTCATGCCGTCAATTATCATTCTTTTTCATTCCTTCAACACTTCATTCTTCCACATCCATCAATCAACCTCTCGTTTATGCATTTTTTTTCATATTTATTTTGTTCAATCTATCTGCTCTACTTCACACAATTCTCCGACGTGAAGCACTTCGAATTTATGAATAGTTGTTGCATTCACAGAGAAATTTTTATATTAAATAAATAAAAATAATAAATTTACTTGCGAATCAAGGCCTCACTCACAATAATTTTACAAATACGTTAACGCTTGGTATAGCTTGGAAATAGCCCGTTCCAGGTTGAGGTCATGAACTCTACCTTGGGTCATTTGCATTCGTAAAACAATTTTTTGTGTGCACTGTCGAAATATAATTAGAGTGATTGATCGAGATGACTCTTCATTTAGGCGTTAATTTTCTTTTTTCATTAATTGATTTATTTAATTAATCATTAATTTAATAATTAATAATTAGCTCATTAATTTATTCATTAATTTATTTAATTACTTATTACATACAATGAGTAACGTTAATTATATTACGTGATTGGGGTAGGTAATCACACACCTCAGCCATGATCTTATAAGCAGAATAATTATTTAATTAACCTAATTAACTTATTTACTTATTAACTAATTATTAAACTAACTTCATTAAATTAACTATTCATTAACTAATTATTCATTCAATTAACCCCTAACTCATGCAGTTTTTAGCGGCGCAGGACAAGTTGAGCTTTTTATTTGAGATATTCTCGCTCGTAGACTACTTCACGATTCCTCCATCCTTCGTGGCTATCTATCTCAACCGGAACTGGCTTGGTCAGTCGTCGCCATTTTCCAATTTCTCACTTTTTTTTAATTTGCTCGATGGAATAAAGATTCCAGACTGTTTAATGTTTAAATCGTTTTGATCAATTGCTATCTAGGTCTGCTGATTATCAACATGCTGCATGGCCATTACCTAATTTTCAAAGGCCCACCTAATTTTATTATACTTTTTCATTTATCTTTGTGTAATTAGAGCCTAATCATTAAATCATTCACACACACACACACATACACACACACACATACACACACATATACACACACACACACACACACATACACACACACATACTAATTGAAAAAAATAGTTTGCAACTTTTTTGGCGCACCTAAATTACAGGGTTAAGATTCACCCGCGCCTTGCGTCTCATGACTATACCAGATGTCTTACAGTACCTCAATGTCCTCAAGACCAGCAACAGCATCAGGTTGTGTCAGCTGGTCTCCACTCTTATCAGCGTCTGGTTCACTGGCGCCGGATTTGTTCATCTGGTTGGTTGGTTGGTCGGTCGGTCGGTTGGTTGGTTGGTTGGTTAGTTAGTTAGTCAGTTAGTTGGTTACTTGGTTGGTCGGTTGGTTGATCAGTTGGTTAGCCTGTTGGTTGGTTTGTTGGTCAGTTGGTTAGTCAGATGGTTGGTCTATTGGTTGGTCTATTGGTTGGTCTATTGGTTGGTCTATTGGTTGGTTTTTTTGTTGGTCAGATGATTGATTGGTTATTTGGTTATTCGGTTGATTGATTGGTCGGTCGGCTGGTTGATCGATTATTTGGTCTGTCTGTCGGCTGGTTTGATGATAATAACAAGATTGACTATACCATTTGTTAGTTATTCAAGCTGTCATGATAAACCAACACTTGTTACAAAACACATCATATGATACACATCATCATCATTCTTCAGGTTTCTTTATAATCTTCACCATCTTTCTTCTCCTCATTCGTCTATTTATCATTATCATCCTCATCATCATCGTCACCATAATCATCGTCATCGTCACCATCGTCACCATCACCATCATTGTAACCATAATCACCGTCATCATCGTCACCATCATCGTCACCATCATTCCAATCATCATCGTCATCATCATTATCCCTCTCTTCATCTTCATCATCCTCATCATCATCTTCATCATTCTCATAAGGTTGAGAACTCTGGCGATCCGTTCACGGGCTTCACAAACATTCACGCCATGTCGTATTGGGAATGCGTCTACTTCACGCTCGTCACCATGTCGACCGTCGGCTACGGCGACACCTACTGCCACACGACACTCGGAAGGATATTCATGGTCTTCTTCATATTAGGAGCTCTTGTTAGTTTGTTTGTCATCAGTTAATTTTTTCGTTTATAAGATTAGGGTTGAGACTATTTTAAATACAGTTATTTATTTGGGAGTGTCACTGCCTTCTCAACTTTGTGAAGTTTCAATTCATTGCTGATTGCATCATCGCTACCAAGCTGAAAATGCAGTCACATTTCAATGTAGTTATACCTACGTACATGTTATTATGTACTTAGTTCTTAATTTTTAACTATTCTCTATTCTATTTGTATATCTAGTTTGTATATCTTTAGTGATTTCTGATTAATTGTAATAACCGCTTAATCGGACCACATGGTTCAAATTCCAGTGCTGTTCCATTAACCGACTTCTATTGCGCCTGCGCGATTTGATACGTTCAGCAAGGAAGCATTTAAAAGTCAACAACCTGATAATTTTCAGACTCATAAAAATCCGCATAAAATAATTATTTCATAATTGTTTACTAATAAATTGTCCTCGTGAAAGTTGGCCCGTATGGAATATATTCATCGAATGATACGAGCCCTAGGTATGCATCAACAAAACTGACTTACACCAACATAAACATGAACGTTGGGAGTTAAGATGTGACTATGGGGATGATGATGAAGATGATGATGATATGGTGATGATCATGATGATGGTGATGACAACGATGATGATGACAATAAAGATTGTGATGAAGGTGGTGGTGATGGTGAGGATGACGACGATGATGATAATGACGAAGATGATGATAATGACGATGATGATGGTGATGATGATGACGACGATGGCGATGATGATGATGCTGAGGAAACTTCCACAAAAACTGACAAGTTTACAAAAACGTTCTGCACAAAGCATGCGGTTAAAAATTAGAGACGGCAGGGTATCTATTTTCAGGCTTAAAAATTTAAAAGAATTATACCACTAAATACATCCGTTAAACATTCCCGAAACATTTTTATAGGATTCCGTGTCGAAATCGCTTGAAAAAAAAACTTACAAATAAAAAAAGAAATAAAATGAAGTTAATATTAAGTGCATGTTTTACGATAACAACGTTATCTTCGAGATGTCTGGATTGTTTGATCGCTTCTAGGCAAACCGCTACAACTGCGATCATCAAATTGATAAACTCTTCAACACTTCTGATTACATCATACAATGAAACCAACTTCTTCCTCTGTGTGCTCTGCAAAACTGACAAAAGAAGGAGAAAAAGATAAACGCGCTATAAAAACTCAAACTCCATGAATGTATGGGTGAAAGCAATTTTTACATTCTTAACCAGTATAAATCTTTGGTTTGAACACTATACACTTGAGACAACATTATAAGTTTCATATGAAACTGAAAATTATATAATTCAGATTAAGTTTAAATTAAAAAAATAATTTTAATTGTAAAAAAACATTCTAAAAAATTGAAATTGGCAGAAGTATACAGTTTGAAATTGCATCGGACGTCGTCAAGAATTATAATCTTTAAACGAAGTAGAGAGCAAACTAGTTCTAGATTTAAAATTTCATTCAAACATTAGATAAGCAAAGCCTAAACGAAGTTATTGAGTTTATTTACGAATTCAAATAATTTTTTTATAAATTACATCAGATTTTAGGTGAACGTAAATTATTTAAATTTTTTGAAGTTAATCTGATCAAAAAAGTCTATTTAAACTGATTGTCATTACGATATTAACATCTAGAACGTTAACGAACTTGCCAAACTTAATCTTTGAATATCTTTAAAATCTTTGAATATTTTTAGGGAGAAAAGTTTTAAGTTCAACACAGACAAAAAAAATGAACGAAGCAATATTTTGTAGTGAAACCTTGGCCAATTTCAAACAGTTGCTAACTCAGTACAGGCAACAAATAACGATACAAACAGACTCTTACAGTGTAGATAGACAGTAAGTGATGTTAGTATCTTAAAAAAAGATTTACTTGTGAATAACAACATATGAGTTAATTGAACATGTGATTTTCAAACGAACGCAGATCTAAAATAAATTATTTGGATTGAAACTAGCACAGGATGCCAGCTGTCTGTTTTATAAACTCTTGTTCACTCAAATCAACTGCTGAGCAGAAAATTTTATAAAATAGTAATTTTAAAAAGTTTTATGAACGTTGAATGTTTCACAGAAATAAAAATGAGGAACTATCTGAATACATTTAAGTGCGAATTCCTATAAATTTGAATGCAAGATAGTTAGGTGGAGGTACTCGAGATTTTTACTCCTTTGATCGTTTGTGTTATCGCTTGTAAAGACAACGAAACAACTACAGCTACAACCACAACTACAAAATCAGATCACAGCAACGAACAACGACATATCGTAACAACGATTCATTTGTCATAGCATTAATACCAACAGATATGACAATATTCATGATGTTTTTAAACATTGTTTAGTTTAGTAATAATTAAAATGAAATAGGTTACAGTGCAATAAATGCAGAGAGATGTTTGTTAAATCTTAAAATTATTTAATTTCAGTCGCAAGCGTTTGTTGAAACATGTCCTAAATATCAACATTGTTAAAAAAATAATGCTCAATAGTATGCATTTAATTTTGTTTCTGAACTTCAAATGAAAAATTATCTTCAAACATGGTTGGAAATAATTTTACCCTATTAGGCCGATTTAATTTTTACATGGATGAAAAAGTTTGATTTAAAGACCTAATAAATTTAATTTTTTTATCAAATTTACCCAATGTTGCAAGCAAATTGTTGACAAGTGATTTGTTTTCAGGTCAAATATTAAAGTCAAAACTACACTGAAAACTTATTTTCAAACGATAACACGAAATGTATCTTCATGTTCTTTCAGTTGCAACATTGGCAATATTATTTTTACTCCTGTTACTTTAGCTAGTTATAAATATCTACATCATAGTCTTCTTTGATTTCCTGCTTTTTTGCGATCAGCTGTTGTGAACATCATCACTTCATAATATCCTTTCATCATCTCGCCATCTTCCTTCCCTCCATCATTATTTCTTCTTTATCATCGTCATCATCATCATCATCACCATACCATCATCGTCATCATCATCATATCTAAATCACCATCATTCACCATCACCATTAGGCCATGTTTGCTAGCTTCATTCCAGAGATAATGGACATTCTGGGAACGAGAAGCAAATATGGAGGGGCCTACAAAACTGAAGGTGGAAAAAAGTCAGTGAACTTTTTTTTTCTTTATATAGGTCAGTTTGAGGTCATTGAGAGGTCATTAAGATATCATTGAGAGGTATGTGACCATTTGAAGATTATTTCAAATATATATGTAATAATAATAGAGATGTATGATTTTATTAAAGAGTTCAAAAACAAACAATTTCAAGATAATCCAGATCTAGAATTAAAAAAATTGAAAATACTCTCTTTCTCTCTCTCTCTCTCTCTCTCTCTCTCTCTCTCTCTCTCTCTCTCTCTACTATTTATTTACTTTTGATATTGAGATTAAGACCAGCCACGATAAGAAAGATAATTTGAAGTATAAATGGAAAAATAATTTGAAACATGATCGACGATCGTTAGTCTGATCCAGCGGGTCGTCTACTGGATATCGGTTTATCACCTAAATTCGTCATCGTCATCGTCATCTTTATTATTATCTGCGTCACTATCTACAGTTTTCGTCATATCATCATTATCACAATCATAATCATTATCGTAATCATCGTCATCCGAATCGTCATCATGAGTTTTGATCACCTCATTGTCACTCATCACTGTTATCATCATACCCGACGCCACCAACGGCAGAAACAACTTACATAAGAATCCTCGCCACTATAATGTTTCAGTTGGAGGCATTGATTTTCATTCGCATTCATTTGTTTGTTTTTAAACCGAGTTTGTTCGTTCGTTCGTTTGTTTTTCATTTGTTTGCTTGTTCGTTTGTTTGTTTACTTGTTGGTTTGTCTCATTCTGTAATTATATATTTATGTGTGTGTATGCGTGCGTGCGTGTGCGCGCGTGTGAAAAAAAATAACTTTGGTATGTAGAAAGAATGCAATGCTTTTCGATGTAGTTTACATAGCAATGGTATGAATGTTTAACAATATTGTTAGTTTGTGATATAAGTTACCCGCGTAAGATGTAACCCATTTCTGTATCTTTTTTCTGCGCCGTGGTTTTATTTATTTTACTTTCGCTTCTGGAGATTTTTCCTCATTCATTTATGATGAGCTAAATATTTTCTGGTTTGGAATAACAATTTGTTTCTTTAATGATTCTTTATCGCCTATTTTCTACGGCCTAATTTGTAATAAAATTGTCAAAATTTTTCAAATTCTAAAACCATTCCATCACAACTCTCTAATCGTTTTCTTTGAAGATATGTACAAATTTAAATATTTATTTCATCAAATCAAAAAATTTATAAAACAAAATTTATCCACGTTAATAACATTAACATTTCCTTTTACATCCCTTCCAATGTTCTGGCAACAGTTTCAGACATATTTGAATTTTAAAGAACTATTCATCACTCTTGACGAAGGAGTATAAACCATGTCAATAACCTTCAACCTCTTGTACCATTCTATCTATCTTTACCGCCATTTCAGACGTGTTTGTTGACATTCTCTTACTCTCTTTTACCCAGCTGCTGTTAATATCAGAATCCCACAGTAATAATAATAATGGTAATAACAATAATAAGTGTAATAAAAATAATGGCAATAATAATAAAAGCTACAACATTAATATTAATAGCAATAATGATGAGATGCCAATTGTACTGACTTGTGATTGTAACAAGAAATTGCACTCCGCATACATTTATCGGTCTGGAACCGCGTTTCTTTTGATCTATTAACCATTCGTTTAAATCTAGGACTTCACTTCCAATCTGTAGTTTTTTGTATGTATATTTTTGTATGGTTATTTCTTAATTTAAATATAGATCTATATATCATTATATCATTTTCTACATCTACTAATCAATATTATTTACATATCAAGTCGCTATAAAATTTGTTGCTTCATCACTGTTTCTTTATCATAAAACATGCTAGCTTATGGATTCATTTTTTTTCATTTCACTGTAAATCTCGTATAAATCTCGTTTAAAATCTTTTCAGTTCAAGTTTTTTCTTTATTTTCATCATTTTAACAAATCTATTCTAGTGCTTTTTGTACACTTTACCACAACGAACTCCGTTGAGAGCTTATTAGCCAAAGCAGCTTCTAACAACCAACCGTTAGAATATGCACCTTAGAAATCCACAGAACAACTTAAATCGCACACCATTTAGACATTCATTCATTAAATTTCTCAATATTTACCATAAGAGCCAACTCACTTATTGCCATTTATTCTTAACAATAAGTGTTCTAATTTTAACTACATCCCGTAGACACATTGTACTGTGTGGCCACATAACGTATGAGTCGGTCACGAACTTCATGTCGGACTTTCTGCACAAAGATAGGGAGGACATGGGCGTCGTTCTTGTTATAATGAACAGGTTACTCTGTAGTTCATACCTTTGAGATGGAATAATTTTAAAAAAATTTCTTCTCCCAAAAACGTGAAATCGATTCATTATGTTTCTATTGCCGTTTATAATTAAAAATTCAGTTATTTATTATGTCATAAAATTATTCAAATGATTTTTCAACTTGTTCAACCTCTTTATTTGTTTTGAAAAACAGAAAAGAGCCAGATTTGGAGCTGGAGGGCTTGTTCAAACGCCACCTGACCCAGGTGGAGTACTTCCAAGGGACTGTCATGGACGCCAACGACCTCCATCGTGTCAATGTTTGTTCATTCTCTTGCAGTCTCTTCTTCTTTTTCTTCTGCATTTATTTTAATCCGATGTAAAATTTAATGCATTCTTCGTGGTCTCAATTTATGCAAGTAAAATATTTTAAACCATTTCAATTGAAATAATGAACAAACAAATTAAAGTTTTAAAACTGTTTTTGTGCTCTGAAAGACGATGAAAAATTGCCGTTGTTAAACATTCGCATGGAATGGGATTCGTTAGCGCGTTTAATGTTGATTAAAATAAAGTTCACTGCATTGACGTAATTGTCATAAAACCGTTTATAAATGAAACGTATACCGTATAACTTTCTTTTAATACAAAAAATTCTTTTTGGAATTTGGATCCAACTTTCCTTACATCATGATCATTCATGGATACAGATCAAGAGAGCTCACGCCTGTCTGGTGCTGGCCGACAAGTACTGCGAAGACCCGGACGCTGAAGACGCTGCCAACATCCTCAGGGTGGTCTCCATCAAAAACTACTGCGACGACATCCGCGTCATCATCCAGCTGCTCCAATACCACAATAAGGCTGGTAGAGTTTAAAACTTTTAAATAAAATCTGATGGTGCAGTGGTTAAGCTGCCTGTTCTTGCCGTTGCAAGGACTGAGTTCGAACGCAAAGGAACCCCCGCTTATCTCATGCTGTGTGTGTGCTGCGTGTATTCGTGCTTATTCACCTGGGTTGTTTGCGTGTCGGCACCCTTGGAAATGTTTTCAGGAGAAGATTATTACTGATTATTCTGTTTTTGTTTATTGATTAAAAAAATGAATATTTAAAAAAAAACTGAGTTAATTTGAGCTGAGCTAATGTTAACCTTTTTTTTCATCATGTGGCATCTTTTCGACAGTCGTTATAAATATTAGATACGAATATTCTCACATTTGAAATTTTCATCATCTTCAGTGAAAAAATGTTAAAATTAGTTAAAAAAAGAGGCTTTGTTTAGTTGGGTTTTTCCATTTTAGGCGTACCTGCTAAATATTCCCAGCTGGAATTGGAAGAGAGGAGATGACTGCGTCTGTCTGGCGGAACTGAAGTTAGGTTTCTTAGCTCAGAGCTGCTTGGCTCCTGGTTTTTCAACGTTGATGGCTAATCTCTTTAGTATGAGATCCTATAAGACGGTGAGTTGTTGTCTATGGGCTGATTAGTTAGTCGATTTGTTTAGTCTGAGTTAGATGTACATAGATTCTTACATCTTATTTTATAATACAATATGGGTAAAATTGAGTTATAATTTGCAAAATACTGTTACTGCTTGAAAAATAATTTTGGTTTTCTAAATTCATTCGTTCTAATTCGTTCTGTATATGTTTGATGTGATCGCCTCTAGGCACTCTCACTCATATCATTACATCTCCGTCGTCACATCATACCATCGTGGAAATGTTGTTTTTTAAAATTACCTCCCAAAGTTAAGTCCTGATATGCCACAGTGGCTGAATGATTACTTACGAGGCACCGGCATGGAGATGTACACGGAACTTCTCTCCAACTCATTTGCAGGACTCACTTTTCCAGAAGCTGCTGAGTTGGTAGCTTCGGTGGCCCTGGCGGATTAATTTTTTTTTATTGGTGAATGGTTTCTGAAAAGTGTGCGCTAATAAAATTAGTTTAGAAATTATTATAAAGAGTAAGTTTTAATGAAATTAGTGAAAAAACATACTTCAAATATTAATCTGCTTGATTGAATTGAAAAGTTGATTACAATGTTAATACGTTAATGAACTTTATCCTTGAAAAAGTTCTAAAAGTTAACTTTATTTTGTTCAATAAAAACAGAGCGTTTGAAAGTTTTCACTGCTTTTTTTATAAGAAAGAGACTCATACCTTAAACTGCTTGCTTGCTGACAACGCTGAAATAAAACTCGTAAATGGATAAGCAAATTTAACTTTGTGTGTGTATGAGTGTTTGTATTTGTGTTGGAAGTGTATTCATTCTCTACCTACCGACCTACACGAGAAAGTTGACCATCAAGTTTCAACTGACAGGTTGTGTTTCTTGAAGTTGAAGCTGCTGCTGATCGCCATCGAAGCGAGGCAGGAAGGCGCCGACGAGAGTTACATCCTCATCAACCCTAGGTACGACGTCAAACTCGAATCCAACATCAGGGGTTTCTTCATTGCAGAGTCTGCTGATGAAGTTAAGAGGTGATTAGGTGTGGTGAGTGGAATGATGATGAAGAAGAAGAAGATGCTGATGATAGTGGTGGTGATGGCGAATGATGAGGATGATAATGATGATGATGACAATGAGGATGGCGATTTTGGTGTTTGAGATAACATTGTCTACTCGGATGTTGAAACAGTTTAAGACAAGTGTATTTTGAAAGTTGATATGCGAAACATTTCTTTATTAATTAAATATAGTATTTCCTCAAGCTTATTTTTACACACACACACGCACGCACACACACATATGTACACACACACACACACACACATAAACACACGCACACTTTTTGCAGAGCCTATTATTATTGCCAGTACTGTCACTACAGCACGATTGATTACAAACAAATCAAAAAGTGCCTTTGTAGGACAGGTTCGTTTAACGAGGAATGATTTATGAATCAACTAAATAATCTATCAATTAATTAAATCAATTAATAATTTAATTAATTATTATTGTTCATTTTGAAATTCATCTCATTTTTATCAAATTTAAAGATTATTTCAATGTTATTCAATTTTTTTATTCACTAGTTCGAAACAGCGTGAATTAATTTTGTAAATTCGGCAATTTAATTTTTTTCAACAATTGATTAATTAGTTCAACTAACCATTCGTTCATCTTTTAATATATCTATCTATCCATCTATTATCCTTCTATCTATTTATTCATTCATTCAATAACCTATCCATCTATCTATCCATTAATCCATTTAACAATCCATCCATTCACCAGCCGTCATACAGTTGCCATCGAAGTACAACCGAATTGGAGGAACATCAGTTTTGTTACGGTGAGTTATTTTATTTTATTTTATTAAAATATCAAATAGTTTAAACCGTCTTAACTCTTTGTCGATTGTTTTGTTTGTTCCATTTAGTGTTCTTAATTTGTTCTAAAATTTGTCAGACTCAAACCCTGCCCTCATAAATCAGAGCGTGTTGTATGCTTACATTTGTTATTTTTGAGAATTCCAATCACATTAAAAGCAAATGGCATCAAAATTATTCTAATTCATTCCAATTTTGCCTTATCTTACACCATCTCTATATCTTACACAATCTCTATATCTTACACAATCTCTATATCTTACACAATCTCTATATCTCACACAATCTCTATATCTTACACAATCTCAGTATCTTACACAATCTATGTATTTTACAAAATCTCTGTATCTTACACAATCTCTGTATCTTACACAATCTCTGTATCTTACACAATCTCTATATCTTACACAATCTCATATCTCACACAATCTCTATATCTTACACAATCTCTATATCTCACACAATCTCTATATCTTACACAATCTCAGTATCTTACACAATCTATGTATTTTACAAAATCTCTGTATCTTACACAATCTCTGTATCTTACACAATCTCTGTATCTTACACAATCTCTATATCTTACACAATCTCTGTATCTTACACACCAAACACGAACGTCCAATAGAACAAACGCGTTGAAAAGGTCCTCCTACTCACGCAGCAGCATCGGCAACAACATCAACATGTTCTCAGGCCGGTCGGCAGCCGCGACACCAACTTCAACAATTAGTTTTAGCATTCCAGCAACGCAACAACTCTCGGCCACAACGACCCAGCCAGCAGCGGTGACAAGCGCGGTTACATCAGCCACAGAACTCCTGATGAATGAACCTTACAACAAGTTTGACAGCACGCTCATGTTCCACTGGTGCCCACCACAAACCTTAGAATCTTGTATTATTGTTAGTCGTGACATCTTCTACAGTTTTTCTTATATAAAACCATTTACCGACAAATTTTTACATGTTGGAATTTTTAACCGACAAATTTTTATCTATTGGAATCAATTATATATTGTCAAAAATAATAACAAGGAAGTTCGATTTATTTTCTAAATGATGCCAATTTATAATACAATGTTAGCAATGATAACCTTAATGTTTTGATGTTTTTATTGACTCTGAAACGAAAACATTTTAAAATGAGACATTGGATAATCATATAAATTTTATTTTATTCAACTTTATTAAAAAAAACGACTTTTGAATATCAACGGACAAGTTGGCACGACGTGATGAAGTTCCAACTAGTTTGTTTCAATTCTCTCTGCAATGTTTTCCGGAGCCAGCAACAAGAGCAAACAAACAGTGCACGTAGTTGTAGATGTAGATACACGTGAAATGATGCACAACACATTCAATGTGATGGGGGCGGATCTCTGTGTAATCGAATCCGGTCAAAATTTACCGCTACACCATGGCGTCAAATTGTACGAATTCTACATACATTCTTAAAAACAAATCAACTCACCTACAGCAAAAATATTTTCAAAAACACAAAACAGGATAGAAATTCGTGTTTATACTTTGTCCAACAGCAACAACAACAAAACCAATCGTCGTCATCATCACCACCGCAGCAGCAGCAGCACTCATCGTCGTCGTCGTCGTCGACTTCATCACCTCCGTATTCATTCTGCAATCACGTTGTTGTCTGCCTGTTTGCTGACCCTCACTCGCCGGTCATCGGCCTGAGGAACCTGGTCATGCCACTGAGGTCTAGCAATTATCATTTCACAGAGCTCAAGTCTGTGGTCATCGTTTGTGATAAGGACTACTTGATCAAAGAATGGAAGAACTTGTGGAATTTCCCAAAAATATTTGTCATCGATGTATGTTTATATAATGAATGGTTTTTTTTTTCGTTGATAATCGCTTCTAACTTAGTTTCAAATTAAATGTTTGTTCTACAAGGATTTTAATTTTTATAGCACGTAGAATATACGCAATTGTTTGTATGGACGGAGCTTGTTAGTAAACTGCACAAAAAACTTTTGGAACAGTTCATGGTGTAGGAAGGTCGTAAGGTACGACACCTCTACTGTCTGAACTAACACGCGGAAAATATTCTATTTTCATGTGTTGTGAAAATAAATTGCCCTCTTATTATGATGCCTGAAATAGCGAAATCGTGTTGAATGAGTATTATTTCTAGAAGTAGTTTTATTGGCCCGCTGCCATTTAAGCCAATAACTTAAATTTGAGCAATTTGTTTGCATTGGAAATTTCATATGTCTTCCTAGCAAAACCACCTAAGAAAATTTGATTTTAATTTCACCCAAAAGGGCTCGCCCTTGAACCGAGCCAATCTGAGAGCGTGCAACATAAACGCCTGCGACATGTGCATCATCCTGTCGGCGAGAAACGCGATCGTCGACGACTGCAACCTCGTCGACAAGGAGGCCATCCTGTGTTCACTGAACATCAAAGCCATGACCTTTGATGATGTGTACGAGCAGGTGAAGAGTGTGCACAGGTCCAACATGTGGTCGACAAGTGGGTGTCTAGTGCGTGTTTGTGTGTTCGTGTGTGTGTGTTTGTGTGTGTGTTCGTGTGTGTGTTCGTGTGTGTGTGTTTGTATGTGTGTGTGTTTGCGCGCGCTTCCGGATAAAATTTCAGTTTATGTTCATTAAAAATTCAAGATGTTTCTAAAATGTTGAGAAAAAATATAGAACTTTTTAAAGCAATCAAAGTCATGAATAAGAAGAAATTTGTAATATATCACAGGCATCAACATTGTCATCGTAAAAGTCATCATTATGAACATCGTCATCTTGATGAACCATGGCATCATGAGCAACAACATCATCATTGCGTCATCACATCTTCATCCCCATCATCACATCATCTTCGTCATCAACACAGGTCCAAACATGCGACAGGTGACGTTCGATCGCTCGAAGCGCCGACACACGCACATCAAATCTGGGGCGTCCATACCAATGCTAACTGAATTAGGTTATTTGGTGGTTAGGAAGGAGGTGGAAAAGTTGTGGGTTTGAAAAAAAATTGTTACGTGTAACTAACTAGTTCCATTGCTATCATCTTCAGTTTCATCGTTATCACACTAATTTTATCTTAAAATCATTAGGACTAATTAGTTCCTATACTTTTGTTCGTATACTTCACGAAACTAGGTCACAAAAATTATTGATAACTTTATAACTAATTAACGTTTCAGATTTAGATCAATATATATGGTAATTTTGTTGACATGGATGGATTTATATCTAGTTCGTAGATATGTTTGAGTAGTTGAAATGTCTGATACATATAAAGCACAACATAAAACTACAAATTATGTGCATGGTTGGCAAAACTCAGCCTACAATGTATATAAAAAAAAGTATTTGAAAACATTTTTGGGATGTTTCTGCCGTGGCAGGAAATGACGCCAATGTGCAGTTTTTGGACCAAGACGATGAAGACGATCCGGGCACTGAGCTATACATCACGCAGCCCTTTGCCTGTGGCACTGCCTTCGCTGTGTCCGTCCTCGACTCTCTGATGAGCACGGTAAGCTGAACGAACGATTTAAAAGTTAATTGAAACTGCAAATATTTTGGTTGGCGTGTGAGTATGAGTGTGGATATGCTTGAGACGTTGGAGAGTGTGTGTGTGTGTGTGTGTGTGTGTGTGTGTGTGTGTGTGTGTGTGTGTGTGTGTGTGTGTGTGTGTGTGTGTGTGTATTACTATTATTATTACATGAACAATTTATGCTTTCATTTAAGAACTAATTTTTGGGGAAGTTCGCTCGTTAAATTTTTTCTGTTCTGTTAGGTTATTTTAAATAATATTCTATAAGTAATTAATTCATAAAACGCTTGTTTAATGGTAGTTGAAATGGGGAAGGAAACAGATTAGTGGGTTGAAACGTGTTTAAACAATTCAACGTACCGAACTGAAATATCAGCCAAGCGATTAAATTTTTTTCAAAGTCATAAAACCCACATTTGTCTATCAACCAACCAACCAACCACCGAACAACCAGCCAGCAACACACCACCAACCACCACCAACATCTCTCCAGACTTACTTCAACGAAAACGCCCTCACCCTGATACGAACCCTCATAACGGGAGGCGCCACACCGGAACTGGAACAAATCCTGGCAGAGGGAATCGGCATGCGAGGGAACAACACTCCAAGCCCACCTGAATTCACGACGATCCGAGACAGAAGTCGAGTTACTCAATTGAACCTCACCGATGAACCGTTTGATGTTCTCGGGGTGAGCCTTAATTAGAGGATTTTGTTATGTACGTTGAAAAATCGGTAGTTAAAATAATTAAAGAGCTTTTGTTAGCATTGTTAGAGTCAGTCGTTTTTTATCTGTTTAATAATTACATTGAAAAAGCTCTAAAAGCAGAAGTTTTGAAATCAAAGAAATGTTTAAAAAAAATGCAAAATATTTTTTTTATCTTTTACAATACTACGTTTTAATAAAAATTCTGCAATAATCAAAACGAAAATTGATTTAAAATAATTATTTTTTCTCCATTTTGGACGCAAACCCCCAACTCTGCAACCGACAGGAAAACGCCACGTACGGGATGCTCTTCTCCTACGCATTACGAAAATACGGCATTCTCTGTTTCGGATTGTACCGCTACATGGATCCGCTCAACAGTGCAGACACCAACCCTTCCGCTAAACGTTTTGTCATCACAAACCCCCCCGAAAATTTCCAACTTATTCTAACTGATAAGGTGCAGAGGTTCTTTCAAGTTTTTCACATTTGACAGTCATCATACAGTCTGGTAATAATCACCAAATGAAGTTAAATTTTAATTTATTGCTGATAAATATAAAAGTCACAAAACCTAATCTAACATTTTTCATCCTCCCATACCAGGTCTTTTGCTTGCGACCGTTCGAAATCACCGAACGACCGACGACGAGGAGAAAGAAGAGGCGAAGACCTCGCTTGTTGGGAGAAACGAGCATCATCAACAACAGTAGCCAGGGTTTGGCTGGCTCTTCCAGGTGATAGTTGGCCAGTTCACTGACGTTTTGCTGCTACCTCATAAACGGTCGGGTTGTTTGGTAGATAGATGTGATGCCATCGGTATCGGTTAATTTTCCGTTTTAATACATTTTTCATTTTATAATACTAGCCAGCCAGCTGATAGGAAAACTGCCAATGAATAATGACAAATGCTAGCGTATGTTTTGAGGTTGGCGTGCATTTTTTTTGTGCTCCGTAATTAGTCATGTTTTGCTAAACTGTTGTTGGCTCTCCTCATGTTCGTGCACTACAAACTACACAATTTTATTTAACTAGAGCTGTCATCATCTGGTCTGTGATTGCCACAATTAGATCTTTAATAATTTTGCATATAAAGTATATATATATAGTATACCTACGTACATACACAAACACACACACACGTATATATATATATATATATATATATATATATATATATATATATATATATAATGTACAAATATGCCGATATGTCTGTCTAACTTGTAAAAAATTGATAAAAATATTTTGATGATAACGTATATAGAAGAAAATATGAACAGATGAATTATGAATAAGCAAAACTGCGCGCTGTTTTATAATTGATTTCGACGCTAGAGTTACGGTTGAGATGTTGTCTGATTGAATGAGAGACTAAGTTAGTAGAAGAATTGAGAAGAATGATTGAAATTATTTATTTACTGAATGAAAATGAGTTACAGTGTATGACTGTATGACTGATTCGTTTCGTTTTTTGTCATGCAGTTTTAATTTATTCAAGACGTGTGGACATTATTTAATTTCTTATTTTCGCCACTTTTTCCGATTTTACAATAATTTTAATACGATATATTTATATTATAATTAATCTACTTTAAGTTTAACTTCGTGTTAGCAGCGAGTCACTTCTATGTTTCTACATCGTCGTGCACGGAGAGCGTGCACTTTTGTTACTGCTGTCTGTTGCATTGAGTCTCCCGCCGTTTTCTGTACACCAACTATGTCTATTTCTAGTTTCAAATTGATTCAGTGGAAGTTTAATTAATATTTCGCGATAGAATTTTTTTTCATGTAAAACCCCGCACTTCTTTTTACTGTTGCTGGTTAAATACTCATCATTATTTCCATCTCTTTCACTCTCACACATTCAGCGGATTAAAGATAATCGAGTCTGTTCATTTTTTTGTGTGTACATGATTTTTTAACGATAAAAAATTAATAACGTTTGGGTTAATTTTTAGAAGTATATGAAAGAAACATCGAAAACATTCAATGAACTAAAATTAACTGTCAAACAGAGCAATCTGTCTGAGAATTTAAGTTGTTCTTCAACTGACTTTCCTTCAATCACTGCTTCTAAAAGGTTCGACAACATACAGGTATTTATATTTATATTCCTATCGAGAAAAAAAAACACAGAACTACTCAACGGAAAATAAAATAGCTCTAACTGTAGTTGCTGGTAGAGAAGTAAAATAATTTAGAAAAAATTTATGTAATCTAAAAAAAAAAATAATATATGATTTGAATATAGTATTGTAACGTTTCAACGCATTTTCATAATAACTGTAAGGACATGTTTGAAATAATAGAAATATTTCAAATCATCTTAGAAAGTTGAGTTTACGATATGAATTATAATCCTCACAAGCATGCTCCTTACATGTTACGCTTCATCATCATTCTGCAGTTAGTAATAAGATGACCTGCATAACAAAAACCATCAGAGTCATAAACACCATTCACATTTTGAGTCAAACAATAATTATACCAATTTCCTGATGACTACTCTAAGGCGCAGTTGAAGCCGGGATACTGATCGTTATCCTGATCGGGTGTTGAAAACTTCATAGTCAATAATATTTCTCCCATCTCCACTGTATCTAGAAACTTTTAGGGAATATTTTCCAAGCTCCGAATTTGTCTTGAGTTGTTTAAAATTTTCAATTTATGTAGTTATGAATGAGTTATTTTTAGTAAATTGAACATTAAATTTTATTTTTTAGAAATATCACAAATAAAGGTTGTTATTTAATATGATACATTTTAGTAAAAAAGAATAGTAAAAACAAATAAAAGTCAAAATGTCGTAACAACTTTTATTTTATGAAATATCTTGCATTAGATACTGCCAATTTACATGAACGCAGTTTACAAACCGTGAAATGGTCATATTCATCGGAGTACCAAGCACCGCTGATAAGCACTTCAAATCACAACCTGTAATCAGCCGATGCCGTTAATTGGTGCATCTTCTCCAAGCCCAACCAGAAGTTTTTGTAGTAAGTTCTAAATCCTAACTGCAAAATTATACTAACTCTAAACAATTTGAGGCAAAATGTCATTTTTCACGCGCATACTTTATACGTGTCCCAAGTTTGGTTAAAAATCTGCGAGGCATCAATCCTCTGCTGAATGACAATCCATCCATTGACAGACGTGACAGGAGTTGGGTTAGCAAACGTTGGAATGTTCAACAGGATTGTTTCATTGACAGCACTATACGTTGTTATGAATTGGAAAAAAAGTTATCATCCAATCAAAACGGTTGTAAAGATTTCACCAGACTTAAGGAAGGATTAATTCATTAGTGAATGCCTGATTAATGAAAGATTAAAGATTAAGCGTTGATTAATGTACGAAAACCTTGAGGATCATGACAGATGGACAACTGCTTCTTACCAGTGAGACACATGTAGAGGGCACATGTATTGTTGATGCCAGGCAGTAAGTTGGAACAAGAGTAAAACAATCCACCGTTGAAGGTGGATGGAAAGTTGCAGGATTTGCTTAGGGTCAAATTTAAACCTTTGGCTAAATTATTTCAATAATTTTATTTCAAGGAAAAAATAGTCATTAATTAATATACAAATTGTATCACTTGATGAAAAATTAACAAAAAAATCAAACATACGTAGTAGTTTTTTTATTCCAAGTTATATTTTTCCTTCACCCAATTAACAAAATTTACATTTTTAAACTAAAAACTTTTCAACAACTGTTGTTAAGTATTGAATTTAAAAAATGTGTGATTTATATGAAATATGTATCAAATGTTACAAAGCACAACACGATTTGACATTCAAATATTTGTTAAATTACTTAAAACATTCATTCTACAAACATTCATAATCTCTGGATTCAAAAAATAATAAACTAAAATCTTAAAATCCTTACTAGTAAATACCAGCAAAACAATCGCGTGCTCGTGTGCAGCATATTTATTTTTAGAATTTATCATCGATTTGAATCCTTCCTACCAATAATTTTCAATTGGGAAAAGAATGACAGCTCTTTCATTCTGTTTTTAAATTCACATTTTAAAAATTCACATTTTGAAATTCACCTTTGAAATTTACAATTTGAAAATTACTAGCAAAATGTTCATAGAGTCTGAAATCGATTTTATCTTCTCAAAGAAACATGTACAAATATGATTATGAACGTTCTCTACAAAAGATAGTTGACCCAAATTTGTATTCATTCATTCTTTCTTTCTTCTTATTCACCATTCCATCCATCCATCCATCCACATTTCATCACAAATAACGCTACAATAATGACAGACTTGAAATATATTTGAAATAAAATTTGTATTCAGCAATGTTCTTAAAATCAAAAATATTTTTAATATATTTAGAATTAAATACTACTAATTCAATATATTGATATTAAAATGTTTTAACATAATGAATAAATACGCATAAAACAAGTTAATATGTAAATAAAACTCGTAAACTAGATGTCTCTTTAAAATAAAAGTTAAAACTGTAATGCGTCCGTTGCCCATGTAAGAACATCCATCAAATTTTATTCAATTATTTTCAACTGCAAGATCAAACCCATCATGGGATGATCTGATTTCCCAGGCTGTCTGAGAACATTACTTTGCATCATCATCCAACAATCAGTAGCTAACCAAAAAGTTATAATTGTAAATGTTTTAAAATGAAGAAATATTAAAAGTTGTACAAATCAAATTTTGAAAATAGCGGAATGTTTTTAAAAAGCATGAGTTTAAATAGTTTTCATTCAATTCTAAGCATTCCTTTATTAAAAATAATTCTCTTTTCAACATTCTCTAGAAACATCATCAACAAAGACAGTTTGTTGGAAAAGAATATATCTGGTGGAAAATATTCACCTACCCTACATAGCTACAAACTATCGTATATACTATGATAGTTTGTTATTTGATACGTACATACGTAAGTCAGATATACATTTATATGCATATAATAGTTGTTGCGGCTTAATTAATCTAAGAAAGTAGAATATATGATATGAGTGATCATTACAAGCATGTTGCTTACGCGTTACGCTTCACCATCATTCTGCAGTAGGTGACGGTGGGAGAGTAACCGTAACTGAAATGTTGCGAGCCATACTCGTGATTGAGGTTTTGACAATAACACCAATTGAACCAGTTCCCTGCTGAATGCTCCAGGGCACAATTGGTTGATGCCACGTCGTTATCCTGATCTGGAGTTGAAAACTTCATCCCATTTTGGCGGTTGGACGGGTAGTTCAAAACGTCCCAATAATCTCCAATGTAGCCCGAGACGAAGAGGGAGTATTTTTCCAGTTCTGAATTGATCTGGATTGTTTAATCTCTGGATTGTTTCTTATAATTAGAAATTTTAATTTTTAATTTTTATGAAATTTTTATTAACTTTGATTAATATAAACTCTAGCTGTTGGCGAATCAAAAAAATAGTTGAAGGATAAAGGTCAATTACACTCTTCCGAATTTCAGAGGATTTAGCAACACGC